GCTTGACCCTTCAATGATTTTTAGCCAAAAATAAACAAAAACCTTGTCTCAAAACGTTTTGGTCTATCCATTATAAGAAATTATTTCATAAATTACTTATCTTGATGATAGTGTACTACTTTCTATCTGAGATTATATAATGATGTTTAATATTATATGATTATGAACGAACTTTTATGCTCAGTTTATTTTTCTTCAGATTAAATAAATAACATATGATGCAAAAGTTATATTTTTTTTTCATAAATACGATTCTAGAAAGCAAAAAAAATTGTTTTTACTGTTTTATCACAGAAATTTCAAAACAAACGATTTGTCTTTAATATTCACAAAATTGTTTTTTTGATGTCAATCAATGTTTTTTCGATCAAAATGAGAACTAATAGTCGATTGTTAACATTGAAACATTCAGACAGCTTAAGGTGACTTATATTACTCTGATTAGCAATGGGTTTCATTAGTTGTTTAATTTTTAACAATGATTTTTTTTTTTACTGAATAACTACTTTTCTTTCTGAAAATTTTGTTCGTTTATGTTGTAGATATATGATCAGTGCAATAAATGACTGTTTTTACGAGATATTTCTTATTAATTAATAAAAACCTTCGAAAATTTCTCATTTCTTTTTATCTTATCGCTTTCATTATGAATGCGTGACGAAAAAAAAATTATATACAGTTCTTAAGAGGACAAAATTTTCATATCAAAACGATAGAAAGATAATTTTACTTTCCAAAACCGTGTCTGTGAAGAAACATACAGATTGATATTTTACTTCATTACCTTTGAATAAAATAATTTCAGATTGATGAGTAGAAATATTTGACTTATTGAAATAAAATAAATTTTGTTGAAATAATAGTAGATGATTAACAATATTTTTACTTTCAAGATCGATTCTTATTTGAATTAGACAATAGATTATCATTTTGAAGATGTTAAATTTCAATTGAATTCGCTTGTTTTTTCAATCTATAAATAAATATTCCAAAGATTTTGAATACAAGAAATTTGTTAAAATTATTTGTTATCCTTCTAACTGTTGTATTGATTGCAATACCTGTTGATCTACGAAATGTTTGAAGGAATATAACATTCACTATTTTCGGTTATATAACCTGTTCTTTTTTGTTTTTACATATAACAGTTACCTTGAAAAAGTCGAGAACGTATGTATTCCCATATCTTACGTGGATTCACCTCTTCTAATCATTCCTTCTGAAGATGTACAGCGAGAAGCACTAAATAGAAAATCTCGAGTTGCGATTAGAATATCTATTTGTATCGGTGGATGATCTATTTACAGTGACACTAAAACTTTATGTACTACGATATATTAAAACATGAATTGAAGAATATCTACAAATCAGACTTAGAACATTCACTCTTTCTCAAGGATATATTTTATATTGGAATGATTTTTAGAAAGAATGAGATTTTTTCAAACAGAATAGAGTAAAAAAAAAAGTTAACAAAGAGATATGAAAAATACTTTTGATAAAATGCATTAGTTTCATGCAACAGTGGATCTCTTATAACATCTTCCATTCTCATGCTTTATCTATATTTCAACAGTGATAAAGCACGTGCTTTAGAGAGCTTCATCTATGATAATTAGTATCACATGCACCTTATCTCATTCTATTTCTCAACTCTTCTTCATGTAAGCATAACATTATTAGTTTATTTTTATTTTTATTTTTTTGTTTCAATATTTTCTGTTATAACATAAACTGTTTCACTATTATAGAAATCATTGAAAATTGTACGATTTTCATAGATATTCTGGAAAGTAAAATGATTATTCGTACTCATGATATAAAGAAATAATAGAACTTAGAAAATACTGATCATTTGTAGCACATATATTTCATTTACCTTCGACATTAGAAATATCAAATAATTATTCAAGCAATGATTTTTTGCTAAATAGAAAAATACAAATTTCTCATTAAAAAAACCATTTGTAATTGTATTGATATCTTATTTGTTGCTGATGCCCTTGTCCATAATACTATCGTAAAAAATCTAAAACCATCAAATATCAACAATAGAGTAATGATCAAATCATTAATAGATTCTTGAGTTATCAAGGATAAGAAATACTAAAATAGTTTTATTAGAAAATTCTATTCAAGATATAAGATGATATATTTTATATAATATAATTTCATTATTCAAACTAAATCAAGGTTCTTTTTCTTCTATAACGTACACAACAGATGTAGTTGAAAAACATTTTGATCTTTTATTAAAAATATTCAAGTAGTATCTATTCTGTCATACCAATAGAGATTGGCAATGATAGCTAAATTTGGTCGATTGTGACAATATAATCTATGATATTTTTTTTTGTGAAACATGATGTTAAGGAAGTGCTGAAGTATAGAAGTAAAAATTTAGATTTACCCACTCCTTCGTCTTCATAGTAGAGAGACGGGGTCGATTTTAATTGGGAAGAATCTGAATCGACTCTATCTCTGCTCCATGTACCATGACAGATACCTTATCAATATCTCCTTTTCTCGTCGCGTCACATACCGTGACAGACGATGATATATGATCAAAGGCCATATATCAATAACGTATCGTTGTAAAATATCAATCACTTTCTTATGGTAGTTTTGGAGGATAAAGTAAAAGGATGGTGAAGAAATATGTCTTAATATAGATAGAATATAACGATGTTCTTGTAATTAACACGAGCAGCCACATTGTGTTTCGTATTTAAAATCTATAGAGATTGTGCTAACAGGTTTTTTCAAAAGTTCGTATAATCGATGCATTTATAACAACCTTCTTTAGAATATTCACACAATACTTTATAGAGACATAAGATATTTTAAAAATGAGATAATTCAAGATTGGTGTTCTATGTCTATCTACCTACTTTATTTCTTACTTCATTGAATCTACATTAATAAATAAACATTATTTAGCACATAGTTTTATTTAGGAATATACGTCATCTAAGTAAAAAAAAAAGTTATTAAATGTATGTCTCTGTCTGTCTGTATGTTTTCATTGATAGGAAATCGATCAATATATATATATACTGATTATTGTTCGAGATATTGTGGAAAGGAACCGCCGTATGATCATCCTGGATAAGGTTGCTGTCCACCACCACCACCACCACCAAATAAACGTTGCAAAACACTTTGACCAGCACCGGATGGAGGTTGTTGGGGTGGTGGTGGTGGTGGGAATGGTGGGGGTGGTTGTTGTCCACCACCACCACCACCACCACCAAATAAACGTGACAAAACACTTTGACCACCACCGGATGGCGGTTGTTGAGGAGGAGGATAAAATGTATTCGGTGCACCAGGTTGCATCGGATTGTATGGAGGTTGATAAGGAGGAGGACCAAAAGGAGGTGAACCAACACCCTGTGCAGCTGGTGGTGGATAGCCCGGAACGTCTGAAGACGGTTGATAATTACGTATAGCATCCCAAACATGTGATACAGCTTGATTTCCTTGTCTATATGCTCCAAATGTTGGATCTGAGAGTAGAAGTTTACATGCCGAAACAATATCACCAACATTGCGTGATCGATGATCATGATCATGATGGTGATGTGAAAAAACAGGTATACCACATTTCTCAAGATTATCATTAACTTCACGAATTTCACGAAGAGAAAGTTCGGATGCACATTTTTTATGATGATCATAATGATGACGATGACAACTATTCGAACGAATTCTATAGCAATTTGGTGATAAAACTCCATCATAACTATAATCGTCAAGTATAGATGCACGTTTTAAACATTTTAATGTATCATCATATTTTGGAGTAGTACAAATTTCAATATCTTTATGATGTCGATCACGTGCTAAACAATCACTTATACAATCTTCTAATTGCGGATATGTACCACAGCCCAAAAAAGTAGTACGTCCACTATGTAAATCAACTTTTTCAAAAACACTTTTATGTTTTCTTCCTCCACGACTATGTGTAACATATATTGGCGTTGGTTCTTCCCTTTCTATTTCACGTGCACTAACTCGAACACAAATTGTCGGTGTTGTTAAATATTTTGATTTCGATTGTGTTTTTGTTTGATGATGATTTGTTTGTCCAACTTTTTTCTTTTCATTAGTATTTATTCGATGTACAGTTGTTTGGTAACCAGTTGGATTATTAGATTTTTTTTGTACATTTCTAGAATGTGTAGTTGTTTTTGGGATCGATGCAAAGGGAGTACTACTTTTTGATGCTGAAGCTGATTTTGATATTAAAGCAAAAGCCGATGGAATAGGAAATATTGGTAGTGTTGGTGGTGATGAAACTAAATAATTTTAAAAATCAAGTTTTAGATAGTATTCAATATCTGATAGTTCATTAATACTTACTGTTATCGTTATTATTTTCATCAGAAATCGATGAATGATGAGATAAACGTTCGCTTAGCTCATTTGCTGGTCCAGTACGTATAGAGCCAGATAGAACTGACTCAGACAGTGACCGCGATGAATGTTGTTCCCCACTTAACATTGACTTTTGTCTATGAAAAAAAAACTCACTTGACTGATATTTCGACTATGATACGCACGACCCAAGGGAAGAGAGGAGACGACGTTGCGATTATAACACGAGCTAGTAGATAAAATAGGTCCTTCAAATCTAACAAAAGCCTTCGTTCTCTACTTTTTTTTTCTTTCTCGTTAATTCACAATATATAAAATAATGTTGTTTTCAAATCAATCAAGGTGGCCCTGTGTGGTTATGATGATAAGAGACGATGGCGATAACAGAACTATTGAGAAAAGAAAAAACAAACGACCATGAGCAAAGCAAGGTATGCGATAAATATATTATTGATACGCTTCGAAGCTCTTTCGTTCTTTTTTTTCCCCATTTTATATCAATGCTACCACTACGCGTTGACCTTCGTCTAATATTTTATGGAACACGTGCCTTGTATTTTTTCAATTAGAGAAAAGAAAATTTTATATTTTTAAAAGATAAAAAGAAAATAGATACATTAATAATTATCTATAACTTCATCTATCCAGTCAATATCCGTTGAAACAGATGCAAATGCATTATCATGATTAACATTTTGTGAACATTCTTCAAGACCATAACTAGCTACACCAAATATATACCATTTCCATTGTGTTCGATTTCTATTTAATTTAATACCAGCACGTATCATTAAACCAGCGCCTGAATCTCCACTACAAATATTATTTCCACGATCATTTCTTCCACATATATGTAATTTATGATTGATCATTAAATTTCGACATGATTTTGGAGCTACTTTTAATCTTGCTTTTCGTGGTATATTAACGGCTGTTGAATCTGGTGATGAATGACCCCAACCAGCTGTAAATGCTAATGTACCATCAGCTAATTTATCTGTTCGTTCGGGTAAACAGGCAATACCAATTGAATGTGATAATGGTACAGGTTTTTCTAATTTAATCAATGCTATATCATGTATTGGTGCTGGTGATAAAATACTAAGACGAAATTTTGGATGAATCAAATATAAAATAGGTTTTGCTACATGTTCATTTAGGCTACTGGTTGAGCGATCATAATGACCCATATATAAAGTAATACCATTTGTTGCATAAGGACTATTTTTCTTAGTATCAAACATACAATGAGCAGCTGTTATGATCCATTGTGGATGGATAAGTGTTCCAGCACAGAGTGTTACTGTGCGTGAGAAAATATCCGAACGACTTTCTATACGAACCTTCAAAAGCAAAAAAAAAAGATTTTGTTTTAATGTATGAGAAATATTTGATTATATAAAAGACTTACAAGCCAAGGATATTCAGCAGGACGTAAAGTATTTTTAACACTTGTGCTTACTTTTAATTGTAATGCTTTATTTACAATTGAATTATCTTTTTTATCAAATATTCCACATTGTTCAAAATCGTATTTTTCGGTTGGTTCAATTTCTTGTAAGTTAGGGCTTTTTATTATTGGAACACAATCAGGTTCTCCACAAGGATCAATTAACATTCGACTTCCTCCTTTAATTGTACGAAAATGAAAACAATTTTTACATGATGGAGAAGAAGAAGAAATCTAAATAAACATATAAAATCGAGAATGTTTCAAAGAAATAATTTTCCAACTACTTTATCTCTTGAAAATATTGATGGAAGAGATATATATACAACACGTTCCGTGCGATTTTCTGATGGTACATTTATTGACAATGATGACGATGGATCAGCATTCTATTATTAAATAAAATTCTATAAAATAAATATTATATTTATTAGACTTACACAATAATAAAAAATAGTAATGAATAATAATAATAAAATGTTTCTCGACATTGTCTCGTCTATCCGTATGTAATACCATATGAAAGAAGGAATCAAGTTTGTCTTTGATTATAAAATAGTTTTATCACGTAGTTCTTTTTTTTTCCCTCACATTCTATTTCATACATCATTCTTACTCATGAAATGAAAAATGCATGACGATGTAATTCAATGCTTTATTTTATTTTTTTCAATTAGTATTAAAAGATTTTATTTTATCACTACTTTTGCACATCTATATAATACACTGTATCTATTCGCACGAAGTAGCAAGTAAACATCAAAACAAGATGAGAAAGACCTTCTAAAAAAAATATTTGAAATTGAATATTGATGTGTCTATGATATTTTATTTTATTGAGATCAAAATACAACACACACAAAAAAAAAAGAAAGTCTAATGATCAATCGATGATTTAAGTGTTGTCATTTCTTCCTGTTCTGCATTCGTTGATATTTGGTTTCTTGTTTCTTTTTTGGATTTTAAATATAAACTCCAAAGTTGTATTACATGTCCAACCATTACTATACACAAACATAAAATCACTAACCATGCCTAAAATAATATGGAATTGCATATTTCAAAGAAATTTTTAATCGACAATATTTACTCTCCAAGCATATATTGGATTTGTTGCAAGACGTGTTAAACCGTATGTCACAAAACTAACAATACCTGCTGTAGTCCACATTACTCCAAGAAGACTACCGATATATTGAGGTGGAAATCTGTAGAAAAAAAAAACATCTAGATTAAAGAACAAAGTTTCATTTTATATTTACCTTGTAGTGATAACTGCTTGACATCCAGCAACGAGCATTGTACGTGAAAAGAGGAAAATCAATATAGCAGCTATAGGAGCAGCTATTGATCGAAACATACAAACAATACAAAGTATTATTGTTGCTAGCCAAGTTATTGTTTGTAAAATAGAAATATTCAGCATTCGTTGAGAACGACCTTGAAAAAACAATTATATTAAAAAAAACTCTTGTTAGTACAGTCCACTTTGGAGCTGAAATGTGAAACTCACATATGTTCTTTAGCCTCAATAAATTAGTGCAAAATAGGTGAAGTGAAAAATTTCTCATAGACTAGAGTTCCATTCGAAGATAATTGATCAGCAAATTAAAGATTTATGTTATTTATTTCTGCATTTCAAATAGAATTTTTTTTTCTTTTTCTTAGTTTAACATTATTATTCTAAGCATTGAATTACATTGTAAATCAGCCTCTTTTGCATATCTATCAAATCTACAGCAACATGCCTTAACCCATTATTAATATATCTCGATTAACGCACAAACACTGATATTGATTATTTTCCAAAGTTCTAATTTTGATCAATTCGCACTTTTTATATTGACTATAATTATGACAATTGTAGCAAATCAATGCATTGTTAAGATCTTGAATATAAATTTTTTGTCTACACAAAAATTAAAAACTGCTTTATTTTGAGAACATTGACACACATATTCCAACCATTCAAATTTTAATGAAGGCTATAGAATATTCTAGAATATTCAACCTGATGTCATTAATTCCGTCCAACTCCTTTTTCCTCGATTACTAATGTCTTTATCACTATCTCCTTCAAAAATAGATGTGAGTTCCACAGAAAAAAAAACAACACGATTTTCTACAAACCTTGATCGGCTTTATAATCAATAATTAAGCCACATATTGGTGCAATAAATATACTCAATATTGCACTCATATTATATGCGAATGTAAAACGATTAGCTAAAGCAAAAGAAAAAGAAAGCCGAAATATTAATTTTTTGAAAAATTGATTCTAACCTAAATGTAAATTATGTCCAGTTAAATGCAGAACCCATGGAAACCAAACTACAGGTAAATATGCTACAGTAAGAAGAAGACAACTAAGAAAAAGTGTTACAACAACAAAAATTGGATCTGTTAAATGTCGAGCTAAAGAATCGTCTGATGTACTTATTGCAACTAAACAAAAATATATATATATATATTATAAAAACAAATAATTAAACTTTAATTTTTACCATCTTCATTTGTTGATAATTTTCTTTTATTCGATACATTAGTACACTTAGAATGCCAATTAAGAAAAAGCATTGCACTACCAAACATTAAAATTGAAAATGAAGCCCAAATAAATGCTAATGTTGATAGTGAAATCCAATTTTTCTCGATAAGAATCTTTTTGTTTTTTCAAAAACAAAAAACCCAATCATTTAAATACAAATATGAAACATGACACAATTTACTTGAAAATTTGCATACCAAACAGAACCACCAATTTGAGCACCAGATATCAATGCTCTAGAAATAGAATTATAATAAAATATTGAATTATAAATATAAATAACTTACGTAACTAAACCTCGTGTTTTAGTAAAATTTGCTGATATTGAAAATGATGATAGTAAAACACACATTCCAGCTAGAGATGAAAATATTGTATGCGATAAGATAAGCCAATCATAACCTAAATTTAGAAATAATAAAAATATTAAATAAATCTTTAATAATTAATTATTACCAGGTTTTAAAAATGCTAATGAAAACCAACTAATTAAATGAAAAACACTAAAGAAAAATCAAAAGTAGCAAAACAAAAAAGATTTCATTAACAATCATATTTTTTTTTGTTACATTGCAATCATTTTAAGAGAACGTGGTCCAAAAAAATCTGCAATCATGCCAACAACAACAGCTGGTAAATTATAAAAACCAATACCTAATGCAAAAGCAAACTAAGAATCAATAATAATTATTTAATTGAATTTTATTATTAATTTAACTTGATATTCATCAATTTGTCCTCGACAATCTTTTGTTATAGTTTTTGTATCATTTGAAATAATTTTTTCTGATATTATTTTACAACGAGATTCATATATACCATAATGAGGTAAAACACTGAATAAGGAACCAAATCCAAATATACTATTTTGAGAAAAAATGATTATATCTCATAGAAATTTATTTTATATAAATACATACTTTCCTGCAACTAGATTAGTTTCAATAACAATCCAAATAAGTCCAATTATTTTAAAAGTCGATGTACTCCTTGATTCATTTGTATCCTAAAATTACTCAAATTTCTTTTTCGAAATATTAGGTCATAATTTTTGCTTTACTTTCACCGCCATTGCAAATGATTTCTTATCAAATAAATACGAATCTAGAGCGAAACACGTACTCTGTAAATAATAGATAAGAACTTGTTGTATGTTTCTGTCATAGCTTGACACTTTCTCCTTAAATCACAAGTAATAATTATCAGTAAGAAAATGCTTTAGAGACAAACGAAGAAGAAAAAAAACTACGAATCCCATTGCTTGTCAGTTAAACATACATTCATATAACAAAAAAAGCAAAAGGTAGAATAGTAAGAGAATATGCGTACATTATCAATGTCGAAAGAAAAAAAAATCCAAAAGAACGAACAGATTCCGTCTATATAGCAAAAAAACATGTTCTATTGTCGCTTTTTTTGTCCTATATTAGGCGATTATAATGCGCGACATTTGATCTAATATAGTCCTATTCTAAATGTTCATATTTTATGTCAAAATATATCAGAAATGCTTTAATTATTACTACATTTTTACATATTTTGATAATTAAAGGTTAACAGATGGAAAAGTAAAGCATAAAAATTTATTAACAAAAAAAAGGAGCTTTGTTAATTGTTGAAGAATTAAAGTAATTATTTTTACGTAGTTATTGATCATTTTCATTGTATAAGATATAAATAAATGACAAAACACAATGACATAATATGTAGAAAATTTATGTTGTATACGATGAAATAATGAAAGATTTATTTGAATTGTTTTATCAAAATATCACTTCAAATTGATACACAATTTGTGGTTAAAACCAAAAAAGAAAACCTATCGAAATGAAAATTATTGATATCATTGTTATACATAAATATTGTTAAGTTAACTAATGACAAAATATTTTTTTTTCCATTTTTGAGACTTATCAACTCTATAAAAAATAATTAACCAAATCCTGTAAGATCATGTATATTCTATCATTGTTCGATTCAAATAATCGTTTACTTGTGTTCGTATTTAAATTCGAAAAATATTTACCAAGTAATACTTTAAAGGTAAAACAGTCTAATATATATAATCACTATCGAATAAAATCTATTTTTATATTATAATGACAAGTCATGTATATATTACTATAAGAAAACTATTTTCTCATTAACAATATTTTGTATTTCAACTAACCTGTAAATTATCAAGATTAGAGTCACGCAAACATCTGAATTTATGTTGTTGGTTTTTTTTTCTTTTTAAAACTCATTATTATTAAAAAAAAATATTTATTTGATTTATCCATCGAATAAATAAATCTTATTAAATGTTGAAAAACCTTTCCTCTTAGTTTTTATTTCATCATATTCAACAAAACACCAAAATTATATTAAAAAAAAAAGAAAACAATGGAAAAAAAACTAAATTTGGTGTTATTGTTAATATTTTCTTTTTCTTCTTGTTTTTTTTTGTCTAAATTTTAATTAGACGATAATAAAATTTCTTTGCAATTTGATGCTAATTGTCGAACAATATCATTTTCATTTGATTGACAATTGATTAGTGATTGTTCAGTTTGTTTTTTTACATCGTCAGATATTTTTGAACCAACTGCTGCTAAACAAATTTTTAATGCTAATAAATATGTTTCTCTATAATAAAAATACAAACAATGAAATTGTTTAAAAAAAGAAGAAATTTTAATAAAAAAAATTTTTTTTTTACTTGAATGATGAATCATCATTCATTTTTAATCCATTTAAAAGTTCAACGAATATTGGATCAATTCGTACATGAATGTGACTTAGTAATCCTAAAGCATTACCAGCTTTAACACGAACTTGACGTGCTGGATCATTAAGACCTTTAAGAAGTGTTGGTTGAAGTTGAGGTAAAAATGGTTTTAATTGAACACCAACCTAAAATATATTATGATCTCACTTATCTACTATTGAATGATATACGAG